GGTCGCGGAGGACAGGACGAGCGGCAACGACACACCGACACGTCTCTCCCCCCGCGACCCTCCTCCGCGCGGTCTCCCGCTGGCCAAACGAGCCCCGCGCGGAACGCCCTCCTCCTCGGGCCAGCCTAGCACCATCGGCCGGCCCGTGGGTTCCTCTTAGCTTCACCGTGGGATGAAATCGACCACGGCTACTAGAGCCCCCCCGCCACGACAAGGCGGGAACCCCTTCGGGGGGGACCACTAGTATACCTAACCCAACCCGAAAACCTATAAAAAGAAATGAGTTACATAAACCGAGGACTTCAAATACCTTTTATACATATTATTTTAGGACACTTCTTATTCTTAATTGAAAAAAGGTTTGCGTAGTCTATTTACAACAATAATAGTGTGCTTTTCTCCCAACTTTCAGTACTATGAGCACCAGAGCAAAGGAATTCACTCCAGGGCACTACCCAGAACATAAACTAGAACCAATTTAGAAAACTTCATTCCCAAGTTGATCTTACTGGGAATTGAACCCGGGAACCCCATTATCCAGCGCCCGCTGTTAAAACTGGTAGACCAACGAGGTCGTGAATTTATAAATATCTTTGAAACAAAGCCTTGTCCTATTTAAATATTTTCATTAATAACAAATGTACCTTATATTTAAATTTATTTTAAATCGTGATCATTGCCAAAATATTGACGATAAAATGTTGATCAATTTATGTTCAAATTTACTGGCTGATATTTTCGCAACATGAAGCAAAGCAACTTTACTACGGAGACTTCTTTTTAACCGACTTCTAAAAAAGGTGGAGGTTTTCAATTCAAATTAATTTTGTTATGCATGTTACGCGATCCGGCAAACTAACAATAACAAAAATAACATTTGTGAACCAATTTTGATGATTCTTTTCTGTTGGAAAGAGGGTTACTCAGGAGTGGTCCCATTTAAATTTGAAGAAAATATTCGTCCTCTAAGGGTGGCAAACTAGGGGATGAATGACTTTTGCGGTCCGTTTTTTAGTACCCTGTACTGAGATTTATGAAACACAACAAAAACAGTCTGTTCCATAGATAGTGTAATAAATACTCGACCAAAATGTATGGCAGCAAATTTTTTGCGACTTTGCAGGGATTCCGATAGGTTTCAGATAAGTACTGAATGGACCTTAAACGATTATCAGCCAATAAATAAGGGCTTCGGGACTATATATTTCGGAAAGATGAAAATTTTAAATTCTAATTATTCGCGTAAAATGGTGATCGCGTAAAATACCATAGCATAACCAATAAGATATATTTGTTATTGATTTTCGACACAAGTATTTGCAAGACTCCTAATTTGTCAAATTAAAATAAACAAGATTCGTAAAGAAAAAATGCAACAGCTACGACAGCGACACGCGGAAGGTCTTCAATTGTGCCAGTTCTCAACTAATATTTCCGCGTGTTTCATAAAAGTTACACAAACTACATAGCCTCTTTATTACCTACTAAATTATTTACACATAAACTAATGTACACATGTGTTCTTGTTTTTCGATTAATTATTAAATTAAGAGTAGGGTTTTAACTTATGTAAATACTTCATATATAAATTAAAATTTTCAGAAAATCGTATCACACATATCAACATATCACACGATTATTCTTTTAATATTAAATTGATAATTATCCTGAGATAAGAGGCAAATTACACGGTCGGTTTCATAGAATTCTATCACAGAGTTCGTGCTATCCGGATTCGAATGATGGGTGAAACAAGCGAAGCATGAACCTTGAGCAAAAGATTGTCGTTCTGTTTAACATTGGTACGTGCATCTGTTTGCGGCTAACTTACTTTGATCACAGATCTAGAATAAAGATACATAGTATTAATACAATGTCATCTTTACTCTAGACCAAAGTATTTGCTATTATTCACTTCTTAACAACGGCTCGGTTTTTATGTGAAAGGTAACAATTTTCACGCATTCAAACATCGCTAGACTTTCATATGCAAGTTTCTATAGTATGAAATATAAAGTAAGGTGTAAAACCTTACACCTTCCACAAATTCAATGGAACAAACGCTGCCTGCGCCCTATTTAATTTCTCTTTTAAAAAATGAAAGTACACAAAATGTAATAAATTCTTATGGTCCAAAAGTACTAGATGAAACGTGATGCATAGTTACCTGTGTTACTTCAGTTCAAGGACGACGAGTTACGTTGTTATTGTTACTCAAGAGCATGTACGTATTTCCAGGCTCGCGAGTTTACCGTCTCAAATGGTCGTCCGCGGAACGAGTTCGTTTGCCGCTTTCTGCTTTAATAACTAAAAAAAGTTGAACTACCCGCTATGAATGCCATACGCGATTTACCTATTTGCAATTATTAACACAGAAGTAAATATTTTGAATCATACTTAAATATCATAGCTGGTATTGCTATTGCGATAGAGTACGTACAGGTATTACGTATTTATACAAAAAGTAGTGTGAGCCCATTGAGACCTTTGCGTACAAATTAATAATAATCATAACCATAGCCATCCAAAAATCATCAATCACAGTAACACTTGCGTGTATGACGTGTCGGCAAGGTTCTATGAAATTACCTACATAGTACCATCGTAATAAGAACGGAAAGAAAATTTTTAAATGCATAATAAAATAAACCACATAATTGTAAGCTTTCAACCCTTTACGGTTGATTTCCTGCCGTTCTGTTACCATGATGCCGGAAAATTGCAATTGAGGACTGAGTAGGCTCCGTCTTATAATAACGCAATCACTGCGCGCGCAAACATTCCTTGCATATTTTCTAAGAACTTGAAATAGGTTTGAGAAGGCCGTACGGACAGAATATGTATGACTTAATAAAACTGTATCAACAAAAGAGCCGACGATGGTGTGCTGCGACACAGGCTCGCGGTTTGTACTAGACCTGCGTGGGCTTGCATAAGGACACCCGGTTAACGGCCACTCGACGTGTCTCGAATTCATTTCAAAAGCAAATGCTCAAATTGTATCGTGCCGACGCAAAATTTCGCGCTACTTATTCGAACTTTCAGTTTATTTTATCTGATTGGCAATAGATTTTGAAACGTCTAAAGTCCGGTGAAAATTTAACAATTGCAACGGTCTCATTGTATCCGGCGCAGTGATACAGATAGTCTTTTATGCGGTTGTATTACGTGATGATGTGCAGATAAGATGACACACCCGGCGAGAATAGATTGTTAACGGTTCATTGAAATCGAAAGAGTCGCGTGAACGCTCGGCGCTCTGAACTCGCGGGTCTCGAGGAACAGGTTCCGAGCGCGACATCCCGAGCCGGGCTGCCGCGGCGAGGTTGCGCGCGCGCAGTATTCCGCTGACCGCTTGTGTGCTCGTGCGCGCTCACGCCGCATTGCTGCAGACACGACAGATTCTATCTAATACCGCGAACTTTTAACACCTGATAACTGACTTGAATTTTATTTTAAATTTAAACTTTAACCGTTCAGTGACGAAAGGCCAGGCTCTACTTTATTTATTTGAAAGGATAAGAAGGACACGTAAACCTGATGACAAAGTGTTAGTGTGTCCAGTACTGGAATAGTTATGGTGTGGAGTGGACATTAAGTGGGTGTGGGCGCAACTATGGCGAGCTTCGAAGACCTAGCCTTCGACTGGTCGTCCCTGTGCCAGGAGTGCCCGGAATGCTGGACCACGTCAGGTGAGTGACCCTTTACTACCCGTACTCCCGTCGATTTATGATGTTGTAAGAAGGTTGTACCTAAACATATTATGTAGCTGCCTCAAGTGTAATATATTTAGAAATGCATTAGTTAAATGTTTAGAAAACATTATGTTTGAATAGTTCAGGAGCAGGACATTGCTGCGACTGTTGCTATTTCGTATACTACCCACGTTTTAGTACAAAACCTAAAATTTAACAGTAGAAACATAGTTCCTTCCGTTCTTTTATCGATAATGAAATCACAATTATATTTGTACATAATAGTCACGTCACGGGACCTTGTAAGATTTAGATTCGAAAAAATAGTTTCATTTCCAATATAATGAAAATTCCAAACGGTAGAGTTTAAAAACATTGGATGTTATACGATACAAGTATCTATTCGGTAGGTATGTTTCAATTAAAGATTTCAATAACAAAATTTCTTGGCTAACTTTACAAACAAAAAAGCAGACTAGGTATTCTAAAAATTACGAAGAATCCTCTTTGATAAGTTTGTAAACATTGAAGACCACAAATAACCTAATATTAGTCATTCATTACAGCTATTTATTATTACGGTCGTTACGTTACACACAAATAACATAGTTGATGCAGGTTACTCTGCAGCTAACGCCAATAGTTCTTTGCTCTTAGTTTATAATGGCAGCACGTTTTATGGAGCAGTCGGCGGTAAATGTTTTGCATCGATTCTAATTAGTATTTTATATTCTGACCACCAAGGTTTGTATTTTATTTATACAAACAAGTTTTAAACGCAATGTAAGTAGACACTGTAATAGGGTCAACTGGACGGTAGAGCTACTGTCCTCCAAAATAATTTGTTTTACTTCAATTCCATTTAATTAGGCGTCTAAAAATTTAAATATACATAAACTCCGCTGTAAAACATAAGAATTTACATTAGAATTTCGATGTTTTCATCCGGGAATGCGTCAAAGTGACTTGTCGAAAGAAAATTACCAATTCAAATGAAACACAAAGTTTTTAAAAATACACCTTGTGTGTATGGTTAGAGGAAAAAATCTTGGACCCTGCGACGTTATTTCTAATTCCAAATATTATCGCGTACACAATGTATACAAAAAATGTATTTATCCAAAATCACCACAGACCACATAAATACTAAAATCACTATTCGTCCAAAAAACAGATAGGTCGAAATAATTCGAACTCCACGAGCACGTTCTGTTTTTATCGAGTATAATTTGTATCGACATACTTAATTGATAACTATTTTTTTTTACACTAAATCAATCACTGTTTTCATTCAAAAAACTAAATTTAACGTAACCCTTGGTTAAGCCATTTCAGCGTGAAAATAATAACAGTTATAACTGTCTCGTCTGCATTAAACTTCTCGTGCGACATTCCAATCTCTACTTCCGACAGAGGGTCAACATTTATATCTTTCGTTAAATTCTGCGAATACCAAAAACTGTTTGTGATTGACATCAGTTTTCTCGAAATTTGTCTGCTTTGACATGTTTTTATCATACAACAATCAGACCTTCAGCAGTGACACAAGAAGACGCATCGTTTATAATTGGTCTTTACAGTACATTCTTGTATTATTAGAATAAGTTGCATTTGTGGTAATTAAAAAAAAAAAATTTAAGCCATTGTCCGCCACGCTGACCCAATACGGGTTGGGGACTTCGCACGTTTCGACGTGCAGATTTCATTACGATGTTTTCCTTTACCGAAAAGCCGAAGGTAAATTAAAAAAATTAATTGCGCATATAAATTAAATTAATAATACCACTTTTTTACTAATGACAATATCCTTGGAATTATGACAGTATCCCGATCTAAAAACAAAACTACTTTTATGTTTTTTTATATCTCGGGTATCAACTGGATCTCTAGATTGTAGAGCATGGGTTCCCAAAGTTTTTGGTTACCGCCCACTTAGGCAAGATAAAAAAATATCAACCACCGCAAAAAATAATTGAAAACACGTATTTTTTATATTAACTTAACACACGGGAAAAATGTAGTGTAGTTCAGATAACACTCCCTAGACAGCATGAACTCCCCAATTGATTCCGCATACTCAAGGACTCTAGTGGGCCGTAAAGCCCACTTTAGGAAACTTTTAGAGGATCAATTCTATTACCAATAAGATAACAATGTGAGACTTTTTAAAACTTTAAATAAGTGTACTCGGCGGAAATTGTATAAATAATAAATTCATTAAATGAGTCCATCAGATTTTTGCCAAAATTATCGTCATTTCAAGTCATAGTCTAAATACCAATTTTGTAAATGCACGTCAAGGCGTAACAACGTAGTTAGTCGTAAATCCAAATAAGATTGCACATAATATGTAATTTTCTTTCGAACCCTGTAAAGAATCAATTTTATCACCACACAAATTCAACTAACACGACAATAACAATGTGACAATGGTGACAAATTGAAATTACTTTCAAGTTGAAGAAATTGCAGGTGACAAGTCGTCAACCATTGCGTTATTGCCCGCAACAAGCAAAGGCTGTGTTTATCCAATATATTTGCCGCTGTAGTCACGGTTTCCATTGACAGGTTTTTTATTTATCTATGATGCCTTATTGGACAATCAATATACGCTAAGTATGAAGTCATGCTCAAATATAAAATGTGATATGTAAAATTTCCATAAGTACATTAGGTATATCAGATCCTTATTATATAATATTCACTTCTTACCTGTTGTCTCTAAATCCAAATTCATTTATTTGTGAAAACACAGATTGTATGGAAGTTGATATGTACAAAATAAATAGATATAATTTCACTGTGTCCGGTCAAACATTAGGCATACAAACATATTAGTAGCAGTACAGTTCCTTGTGAAAGAGTTAGTCCAAGGAAGTACTGCCACCTTACCTATTGCTGCCGCCAAGCAGTAATGTCAGCATTGCTTTGTGCCGGTTTTGAAGGGTAGGGGTGCTGGTGAAAATACAGGCATATGGGACTTGTCAACTTATGTCTCAGGGTGACGGGCGCAGTGGTAGTGCCCCTCAGATCTTTGCGATTTAAAGCTCAGAGTGACACGGCTACTGTTATGGACAGGCGTATAGCTTACAATCAGGCTCACGACTTGTTCGTCCCGTCACTTGATATTATAAAAAAAGAAATTTAAACGCGGTGATAGTTATTTTAATTATAATAATTGTATAATGTAACTAAAATACAAAATCAATTAAAAAAGTGTGGTTTAAGGAATTAGAGAAAAAAGGGGGAAAAAGCGCGTCCCAATTACCATTCCGTTACATTTCAATTCCATAACTTACATCATCACTTACACTTTTTGACTTTTACTTCCATTTTAACAATGTAGATATTGAGTATTATCAAAACGAAATTTCGCTTTCAATTTACTGTTTCTCACCCAAAAGGTGCAATTACAGATATTGTAACGTTAACTATAAACGTTTCATTCCAATTAAATTCCAAACTAAGTGGCAAACTTTTGGAATTAAGATTTGCTGTGAATTCACACAGATTCACACGATTAGATTAATTTTAGGGTAATTTAATTTAATTGTCAGTTCCGTCATTGACCCCCGATCACTTTATAATTTTTGACGGCTGTAATTGGCGAACTTAATTCAAGGATCAACACAACTTTGAATTGTTTTTAGTTTTATAAATTTTATTCCTGGTGAAGAAAAATGTAAGTAAATTAATTTGCTACTCCGCGAACCCAAATTAATTTACTTCCATTTTCATTAATATGGACTTCCGCAAAGTAATGAATTTAATAATTAGTTCTAGTGCTCAAGCTTCACACTTATTCCCGTGGCTTTATGTCTACATGGATGCGTCATGCGTATGTAGGTACAGCGTTTATTTTTTTTACTGTCATATTATCTTTTATACGAGAGAGTCACACATACAGTCTGCGCTTGTAAGTCCTAATTCATTCAATTAAAATTCAAAATCATAAAAAAAACCTGTTTCGTACGTTTTTTGAACATTGAAAGGGTTCCCATAGTAAATGGTGTTGGGTTTAATATTTAGGACTGAGTTTAAAATAATGGCAGCCAACAAATTACCTTTTGACCATGTGTTTGTTAACGGAATGTTATAGGGTATATTTTATCTCTAAAAGTTGTTTTTTTACGGTACCCACTAAGTGATGGGACGAACAAGTCGTGCGCCTGATGATAAGTAACACGCCTGTGCATAACAGTCGCCTCTGCCCCTATCATTCTGAGACATATGTTGAGAAGTCCTATGTGCCTGTAATTTCATCAAATTTTTCGTCACCAGATTTCACAAAATTTGTTTCTAAAACAGCGTTCCATTCAAATACACAAGCTCATCTTCGTTATAATTTATATTTCTTTGTTTGTTTTTTTGGTGCAATAAAGGATATTTATATATATAGTTTACAAATAGCGATGATTTCTCCAATGCTGGTATTATACGGTCACTGTATTTGACTTTGGAGGTTAATGTAATACGGTAAATATTGAACGAGGTGCAGTTCCACGGAATATATAAGTATTTGTGAACGCAAACACGCACGAGGTTGAAAAGTGACCAACCCTCTTCATCATTATGCAATCAAATATATACTATTATTAGTATTTAGAACCTATAATTCCTATATGAAGAAATTTGCACAATGGGAGAATCCCATTTCCTTCTTCATCTTACTTCTTCTTCTTCAATTTGACAACCAAACATTTTTATTTACTTCATAACATTCTACCATTAATACAATACAAAAATTTTTTACTGTACACCAGAATGGAATCAAATACAATATAATTAAATAAAAAAATTGCGGTGGCAGAAGTGGCAGCCATATTGCTTTAAGCGATCTCTGCCAGACGATAACTTTAAAACATAAATAAGCAGCTCAAGTTACATCAAAGTTATGTTGTGTTCTTTTACCATATTTTTTTCTACCATCAACAAATTTAAAATGTAATATGTGTGTAATTTATATATTCTGTTTTTATTTATCTTATTGTTTGAGA